GCGTCCGTCCACTGCTCCTCTGCGTGCCCCTTTGCCTTCTCCTCCTGAGTCCTCTCTTCCTGCGCTTGCCGACCCTGAGTCGGACTCTCTTCGCGCTGCCAGTCCTACTGTCACGCGTCTGCTTGCTACTGTCGTCACTGACCCCTCTTTTGAGTCCACTGCTGCGTCTGCTCTAGTCGCTGAGCTCGTTGACTTTGCTGCTCGCTGTCGTCTCGACTACGCTGCTGGTCTTGTTGCTGAGTCTGCGTCTGTCTGTCCTCCGTCCGTCGGGGGTGAGTGTGATCTTGGCACGGACGTCCTAGAGGACAGACAGGAGGAGTTACAGTGTCTAGCGGCTGCTTCACCTCATCTCGCGTCTGTACTGCTTGCCCCTGAGGGAGACCCGGATGCACTAGACATCCCGACTCCGCGCTCTTACGCGGAGGCCGTAGAGGGTCCCTACTCCTCTCAGTGGCAGGCAGCTATGGATGCAGAGATGGCTTCCTGGAAGTCCACAGGCACCTACGTTGACGCAGTTCCCCCTCCTGGGGCGAACATCGTCAGTGGCATGTGGATCTTCCGGGTGAAGCGGCCGCCGGGCTCTCCACCTGTCTTCAAGGCGCGGTACGTTGCTCGTGGCTTCAGTCAGCGGCAGGGAGTTGACTACTTTCAGACCTTCTCTCCCACCCCGAAGATGACCACTCTTCGGGTGCTGCTGCACATAGCCGCTCAGCGCGACTACGAGCTTCACTCTCTCGACTTCAGCACTGCGTTCCTGCAGGGTAGCCTGCACGAGGAGATCTGGCTGCGCCGTCCACCTGGCTTCACTGGGACTTTCCCTCCTGGCACCCAGTGGAGCCTCCGACGGCCAGTCTACGGTCTCCGCCAGGCACCGCGTGAGTGGCACGACACACTGAGGACTACGCTTGCGGCTCTTGGGTTTGCTCCTTCTACTGCTGACCCGTCGCTGTTTCTGCGCACCGACACTTCACTGCCGCCGTTCTACATCCTCGTGTACGTCGACGACTTGGTTTTTGCCACAGCGGACACTGCTGGACTCGCCTACGTGAAGTCCGAACTGCTGAAGAGACACACGTGCACAGACCTGGGTGAACTGCGCAGCTACCTTGGCTTGCAGATCACTCGGGACAGAGCACGCCGCACCATTACTTTGACTCAGTCACACATGGTGCAGCAGGTCCTTCAGCGCTTCGGCTTCACGTACTCCTCGCCTCAGGCCACTCCTCTGCCTACTCGCCACTCACTCTCAGCTCTGCCTTCGGATGAGTCCGTAGAGTCGAGTGGTCCGTATGCAGAGCTTGTTGGCTGCCTCATGTACCTGATGACCTGCACACGACCTGACCTTGCATATCCTCTGAGCATTCTTGCACGCTATGTTGCTCCTGGGAGACACAGACCAGAGCACATGGCTGCAGCGAAGAGGGTATTGCGCTACTTGTGCAGTACGTCGGGCATGGGGCTTGTGCTTGGAGGGCGGAGTCCAGTGGTCCTTACCGGCCACGCGGACGCTTCTTGGGCTGACGACCAGGCTACGCAGCGGTCGTCACAGGGTTACACCTTCAGCCTTGGTTCCGGCTCTGTCTCGTGGCGGTCTACTCGCTCGTCTTCGGTTCTCGGCTCCAGTTGTGAGGCTGAGATCTACGCCGGGGCCATGGCTGCACAGGAGCTTCGCTGGCTCACCTACCTGCTGACTGACCTTGGAGAGCCGCCTCGTTCTCCTCCAGTGCTGTACATAGACAACAAGGCCATGCTGGCCTTGTGTCGAGAGCAGCGCTTGGAGCACAGAACGAAGCACATTGCTCTCCGCTACTTCCTTGCTCGTGAGCTGCAGCAGCGTGGTCAGTTGCGACTTGCGTACGTGGCCTCTGAGGCCAACACTGCTGATGTGTTCACCAAGGCACTCGCGCCTTGTGATCATCAGCGCTTTTGCACCCAGCTGGGTCTTGTGTCTGTCTTGCCTCACTTGCTCTCCTCTTGACTTTACTTGTACTGTGACATATATATATACCTGCTCTTGCTTGTCTAGTTTTATATATATGTCTGTACTCCTGCATGTGAACTGGCCTCTGGCCCTGCTCTTGTGCTCGGACTGTGTGGTGACTTTGTGATCGACCCTGAGCTTGTTTTGCTTTGCTTGACTGGTCTTGTGACCCCTTGTTCTCCCCCACTTTGCCTATGGGGGTGTGTCAAACATTATATATGTTATACTTGTGTAGGCTACAGTGGGTTAGCCCATAGGGGGTACACAATTCTAGGGTTTACTACTTGTACTCTTTTCATTTCTAGTTGATCCATTCCTGTTCGCTTATTCTCACAGGGGGTGTGTCAGAACATTATAGCTTATGCTTTTGTGTAGGCTCTAGTGGAGTAGCCCATATGGGGTACAACCCAATTAGGGTTAGTACTTGTACCCAACTGTTTCCTAGTTCATTCATTTTCTCGTTTCAATTCTCACACAAAGCTACCGTCATACCCCGGATATACCCCCATGGGGGGAAATAATAAAACAGATTTTTTTAGGGGGTTGGGCTTATAATTGAGTAAATTTATAAGCGCCGGCCAGGCCCTCAGATTGGTTTGAGGGTATGCTGATGGATCAGCGTGCCCCGGCCAATGAGGTGTCCAAATCAGCGTTCACTGTTTTTTTTTATACTGATTTTGCCAGTGTAAAAATCATAAGTAAACTGAACCAACAGTGTAAAAACAAAAAACTATAGCTGAAACCTCAGTACAAGGTGTGTGGTGTTGTTGTTGTGATAGGTTTCAACGGCGCGCACCTGATATCTGTGCAGTGCATGCGAAAAAATAGGACACGCGTACCCTATCATCCCCCCTCCCCCCCCCCCCCCCCCCCCCACACACTCACACACACGCGGTCAACTCTGTTTCAGTGTGACTCACGTCACTAGACAGATTCGTCAGTGTTATTTGTACAGCAATACGCAAAATGGTCAGTGTGGCAACGTAGGTTATATTGAAATTTCAGTGCAAAATTGAGGCATATGCTGAATTTTCAGGGAAAACGAAAATCACAGCTACAAAATCAGCGTAATCAGCGTGTTCTACGCTGATATCTGAGGGCCTGGCGCCGGCGTTTATAAAATGACATATATGTTTTTTTTATATTTTTTTTTAACACCAAACTGTAGATCTCGTACTTGCCTTTTCAATCGAGTCGAAGTTACATAGGGTCGTCCGTGAAATTATCGCGCGCGCAGGGAGATACACCCAATGTGACTCTCATCCAGCTCCTGAGTCCTGACTGCTCCTCCTGACTGGACCCGAATCCAGTGCAGGGTCCGAATGTGAAGGGAACCGAATCTGCAACACATCTGCCTGCTAAAGTAAAAACCGTTTCAGTGTTTTGAACACTTTTCAAAAAGTTAAGTTTACGTGCACTTATAATATAGAAAGTTTTTCCAGGGGGTGCGCTTATAATCGAGCAGGGGATATAAGCGCCACACGCCAATTAAAAGCGCCAAGCGCTTATCCGAGGGTGGCGCTTATAACCGGGGTATGACGGTACTGCGTTTGCCGATTGCATGCATTCTGCTTTACTTCTCGACAATGGGAGCAATGATGTGTTAGCTAGGTAGCGTGCTGGCGGAAAATCTGTTTGGAATTTCCTAGCAGATTTTCAGCAACAGTGAAACATCTGCCTAAAAACGTTGTTATAAGATGCACACTAGTACATGTAACAGTACACGCCCATGTGACACAATCATTTCGAAATCTTCGCGAACCGTCGCGAATAGACATTCTAGCTTTCGCCTGCTTTCCTGCTGTCTTAGTGGGTTTCGTCAATTCTACGCATATTTGCTGTCTTTCACCTGAGTTTGTCAAGTAGAACCAGATCACTGAGTATGTGGGCAGACTAGGTGTCCCTCCCAACTTCACACAGGTAGCCATGGCTGAAGTTGCAACTGCTCGACTTGCGTATTCGATAAGCAATTTTATGGGCCCTTTATACGCAATCTTAGGCCCGCATCTTCGCAGGGTGCATTGTGATTCTCTCCTGATTTAGGGTTGAGGTTGAGTGCCGTGACGAGTCTCCGAGTCTCCTGCCGCACGTCGCGTGTTCCTTTTCCACCCTGCTGGCTTGATAGTCCACTCCCTATGGCTCATCCGACGGTGGTGGTAGAACAGAACCCTCAGCGTACGGCTGTAATGGTCATCCTGAGGATAAACCATTGCATTCCGAACAATGAACACTTGGTGCTGAACCGATCCAGCTGCTGCGGCGAACCACCCGATTGCCGGCGCCTTGCACGGATTGATATCGTGGCGCCACGTGACGAGCGCCCTTCCTTTTTTGAGTCGCCAGGCCATCGCATGGCTCTGTTGATTCGACATGCGGCGCAGCATCACCACACGATCTGCCAGAATCGACGGTCACCCTGCGGCAAGCTACAGGAAACCTCGGAGGATCGAGCTCAGCCACTAACATTCCAGAGTTTCGAGAGAGGTGCTCCAAACATGATCTACCATCTCCAGATAGCTAGTAGGACCTCCAGACAGATATTTAGGTCATGGGCTGCGGCAGTCTTGCGAGAGATACCGCCCGTGAGCTCTCGTAATCCTGCTAGTTGGCTCCGAGGAAGAGGAAACCGTTTCTTTGTTCTCGCCAGTTTAGGGCGTCAGTTTGGTGGTCGTGATGGGTGGGAGATGGGACACAAATGCGACGCGACAGCGCCGTCGCCGCGGGTTGAAGTCGCCGGAAATGCACGAGGCTGAGGTGAACGAAGCAGCGAAGGGGTTCTCCCTTCCGCTCGGCACTCCGCTGGACGTTTCCCTGCCGCAGGATCTATCATGGGAGGGGCTGACTAGTACCTCCCTCAAAAGGTACCGCCGCCGCCACCTCCCTCATCTGTGGGAAGCAGCCTCGTCGTACGCCATTCACTTTTCTACGAGCCGTAGGGACTGGACTCATTGTATTGCTTGCTTGCTTTCATGCATTCCCATCCCAACGCTCCCAACGCAGCTTCCACCCACCTCGTCTCATGAGGGGTCCAACCACCCCAACTCCTCCGTCCCACTTCTGCCCCCATTTTCTTCCTCCCTCCCTACTCAAACCTTTTTCCTCTCCCTCCCTTTCATCCCCACCTTCCCCCCTCCATCTTCCCTCCTTCTCCCACCTGTCCCCTTGTCCCGCCATCCTCCCTCCCCCTCCCTGTTCCACCATTCCTTGAGAACAGAATCTGCTACCTCTCCTTCTCCACCTCCTTTCAATCTCCGTCTTTGTGAAATTTCTCTCCTACCCCCCCACCTTTCAGAATCTTCTCGCCTCATCATCCCTCTCGTCGGATACGCGCGTCTCTCTACCACAGCCGCGTGCTTTTGAAGCTGCTACTCTGGGTAGCCTGCACAGGCATTATCAGCGCCTACCAAGCCCACACAGTCTCGGCCCACGGCCTCAAAGGTACCTGCCGTTGCTAAAAGCTGGTCCGGGCTGAAGCATGGGTGTTGTTGTTCTTCCTGGCTCGCTTCCTGGCTCGCTTCCTGGCTCGCAACGATGGGTGTTGTTGTGCTTCCTGGCTCGCTTGCATCAGAGCAATTGCACTTACTGGTAGTCATCCCTTGCCCTTCCCATCTCCCTCCCACTCCCTCCAGATTGCGCCGACATTTTCGCCGCAGGAACAACTCTCCCATCGCCTCTTGCCACAGCAACCGATTACGACGAAGCAGGCAGAGCGAGAGAGACGGCCTCGCGCGGGTACAAGCGCGAGGACGGCGTCTGCTGGAGCCGCGCCGAGATGGCATGCTACGCGGGCATAGCAACCGCCGGCTATCCCACGAGAGGCGCCGCTGAAGCGTGCGTGCAGCCGCATGTGTCCGGGGCGCTTGAGACGAAACTGCGGCAGTACCACCGGTACCGGCGAGAGTGCCTGCGGCAGGAGCCGATGCCTCAGCTGCGCGCCACGCTGCTAGCTGGAAACCGCACTGCCTGCCGCTACCTGCTCTACCACCAAACTATAGACGGGCAGGGCAACCGGCTCATGTCGCTCGTCTCCTCGTTCGCGTACGCGCTGCTGACGGATCGGATTCTCCTGCTGCTGTCTCGCAGTGGGCCCGCTACAGAGTTCTGTGAGCCGTTTGAGCATGAGGCGTCGTGGGTACTGTTCGATGGGCCGGAGGAAGAAGGGGAGGAGTATGCCAGGGTGCTTCGGTCCAGAGTGGCTAAGGAGTGGAGGAGCGCGAGGGAGGGAGAGGAGGCATGGGCGTCGGGTGACAAGCTGCCACCACCAATGTGCGTTCTGTGCTGTGCTGTGCTATGCCGTGCCGTGACAATCACTTGTTCTTGTTCCAGCGTTTCTTGTCAGTCATACTGTGTCTGCCTTCTCACATGCCTTGTACGCGCAGCTTTACCCATGCTTAACGGATGGGTTGTTTTCATAGCCTTTACAAAGTGTATCGAAGACTTATGTTCCCCTCATTTTCTACCCCATTCTGATTCTCTTCCTTCCCATCCCCCTCTTTCCCTCAGGCTACGCCTCGACATCAACCAAGCAACCACCCCGTCCGGCTTCTTGTTCTTCTGCGAGGCAGAGCAGCAGTGGCTCTCCCACACGCCCACATTGCTCCTCACTTCCAACCAATACTTTCTCCCCGCGCTCTACCTCCTCCCCTCCTTCCGCCGCCTCCTCCTCCTCCTCTTCCCTGCCCACATGCCCTTCCGCTCCCTCTCCCGCCTGCTGCTCTTCCCCCGCAATCGCATCTGGGCGGGAATCACCCACCGATACCACACCCTAATCGCCCCGGCGCCAGCTCGTGTGGGCCTGCAGGGGCGCTTTTCAACGCATGCAAAGGCGAGCACAGTAGCTTGGTACACTGATGCTATGGGGCGTTGCATGCTGCAAGCTCTCAACTCCTCCACCGTGCAGAGAGCAAGGGGGATGCGGCTTGCCAGGGAGGCGGCTTTGAAGGGAAATCAGGGTCCTTTTGAGATGCACTGGGGACGGGATATGCGAGAGGGAGAGGGAGGGGCAGAGGGAGTAGGCTCAGCAGGGCGGGGCACTAGTGGGAGCACTGGGCACGGGGTGGGAGGTGTGGCTGAGAAAGGTGCGTTACGCGGTGGTGGGTTCAATCCAATGGCTAGAACAGCGAGTGATGGTGACAGGAGCAGTGGAGGTGGTAGTGGCAGTGGTGACTGCAGCGTGGGGGGTTCATGGGGCAACGTGACTGAGGTAATGGTAGCGTCTCTCAACCAAAACCTAGTCCATAACCTCTCAGGGGTAGTGATGGCCGATGTGCCTGTAGCGAGAGTGACAGTGGGAAGTGACGCTGCTTGTGCTCCCATGGAGGATGCTCCTACACAGGAAAAGCCACCACCCAGTGGTACCGCCTCCACTGCTGATCCTGCTGCGCCTGCAGCTACTGTAACTCCCGGTGTAAGCATGGACACCAGAAGCAGCAGCACTAATAGTGGCACTGGCAGCAGCAGCAGCAGCAACAGGAGCGGCAGTGGCGTTGGCAGCAGCAGGAGCAAGTGCAACAATGGCACTTCTGGGTATGGTGTGCATATAGTGCACTTGACAGCCGATGACAAGGAGAACACCACCAATACGCAGGGTCGTCGCTAGCAGAAATTTTTTGTCTGTTTGTCTTATATTCAGATCGAGTTTTTAGAGATCATCTGATTTTTCAGAAATTGGTTTTTGTAATTTCTGATTGGTAAGGAGTAGTTTTTAAGTTAATCTGATCAATCAGGTTCATGTTTTGGTTTCATCTGATACCGAATCCAATTACTGCAGGGGTGAATATGGGATTCGAGTTGTGAATGGGTGAATCTGATGCGTCAGGGGTGAATCTGTTAGTGTCAGGGGGCGAATCTGCTGTGTCAGGGGCGAAATTGTTGTGACGGGGCGAATCTGCTGTGTCAGTGTGACAGCGAATCTGCTGTGACGGACCGAATTTGCTGTGAGGGGGTGATTCTGCTGTGATTGGTCAAGTCCGAATCATTTGCCCATTCGATTGGCCAGACACGCATTTCGAAAGTATCTGATACATCAGACACGGTAAAAAACAGAATCTGATGAATCAGACGGGCCCGAAGGGCCCGTCTGATGCATCAGGCACCCTCAAATCCTAGCGACGTCCCTGCCAATACGGCATCAGTAGACCGGGCCATTATCGACATCTACACCCTCGCTCTCTTTTCCGATGCACTTATCATCTCCAAGACTTCTACTTTCGGCTACCTCTGTGCATCCCTCTTTGGAGTTCCCCATGTTACATTCGTGGGGCACACTTGCATTCCCGCTGTTTCCGAGCCGTGCATGCACTGGCCCCCCACCAATGACCGATGCCCTGATGGCAATCCACAGAAGCTGCAGGTGCTTCTGGCTGAGAAGCCAGATGTGCCCCTCATGCCCTGTATGGACAGACCCAATTCACTTGGGATCAAGCCCTTGGACAGTGCACAGTGTTGGGCTGAGATGCCCTAGGATCTTTGTAGAGTTAAAGTCTAAGTAGGATTGTAATAGCGGAAGCGTTTGAATGACAAGTCCTTGAACCACCTTGCGCTAGTATGTGAGGGCAAAGTAAGTTAATTAAAACAAGCAAATATTATAATTTTTAAACACACATGTAGTGTTTTTTAAAATTGTGTATTGTGAAAGCGAAGCTGCTTGTACTGCACAATTGGCATCGTCGAAGCGCGCTAAACGCCCTTCTCCAACTACAAAAACCGTGGGTTGGAGCTCATTTCCCTCCACCCACGTTTCTCAATTTTCAAACGGCTCACTCAACATTTTCCGCTCGAGTAGTTTTTCCCTCCAAGCTGGCTAGGATTAAATCGCTTCCTAGAGGCGAGTCACCCTCTACTTTACTCAGCGACATTTTCAACTTCAATCGCTCAACGATGGCACCTACGCCGACACTTAACAACGGGAACTCGTCAACCCCCGCTTCCGACTCCGACCGTAACGCCCGCGATTCTGCGGGCGAACGCCGTAACAAGCGTCGGGCAGAAGACGGACCTTCCGCCCCGACTGCAGTGGACGTGCTGCTGGGCGGGCTCGAGGTCCACAAAAACGCCGAAACCCAGCAGCACCCTTCGGTCCCTGTGGCGCCAGTGGCGCCTGTGGCGCCAGTGGCACCTGTGGCGCAAGTGGCGACGGGGACTGGCGCGGCACACGCGACTGACGCCGAGCACACGCCAGCACCCGCTGCTGGACCGTCGCGTCAGCGTCAGAGGAGGCGGACTGCAGTCTCCTCGTCTGACGCGACCGCCGCCCCTGCGCTGACGCAGGCGTTGACCCCGGACCAGGTCAACGCGCTGCTGTCCCTTCTACAGCAGCAACCCGTCAGCGTTACAGCCGCGGAAACTGCACTACCCGCCGCATCTGCGTCGGCTAAAAAAGAAACTGCAAAAAAGGAGAAAGGCACACGGGGAGCACGGACGAACCGGCATGACAACGACGCAGCGACTGCCGCTCCCCCTGCTCCAGCGGTCGACAACGACACCGACGACTCTGAAGATGAAGCCGGTGAAGGTCCAGTCAACAATGTTAATTTTATTGGCACGGAAAACCTTCCCCCCCTCCCTTCTTCTAACCTTACCTTCTCGGCGGCAACCTTCGTCAACGACTCCGTGCGAGAGCAAGCGGAGCTACTGGAGGACCTGCGGGCGTACCTGCTGCACGCCGAATACAAGGCGCAGCGCGGTGATCCGGCGGGCGGACTCGAACTCATCTCACACGCTCTCAACCTCATCGCGGGGCGTTTCGAGGTGCTTCAAGTGGAGGACGCCTCCGACTTTCGCACGGCGAAGCGTTTTAAGCTGTACCAGCAGAAGAGCCTGCTGACTTCTCGACCCTTCAAGCAGGCGGTCGCAGACATGGCGGCGATGGACCGTGCGGCAAGCGGATACGCTCGTGTCAACCGCGGCGGAAACAACGGGCCGATGCCGTTCTTACCCAAGCGAGGCCCCCCGCCCACGGCCAATTGCCGTGGGTTCCGGGGCTCATGCTTCCGCTGCGGCCAGCCGGGCCACGTGGCAAGTGCCTGCCCTCGGAACGGGCATGGAGGCCAGGGACCCGCTCCGGTGGTGTAGGAGCGGGCCATGAGACTAGGCGCTTGGGCGCTAGGCACGGTGCACTCTTGAGTGCGAAAACCGTGGGCAACCCTAGGGGTTTGCGATGGCAAGAGGCCAGCCCTAGTAAAGGGTGGGATAGGCTTGGGCCTAGGATAGGGAAGGGGAACAACAACCCCTCGGTCCCATATGTTGGCCACTTGGTGGCATGCTAGGAAAGCATTGCTATGTGTGTTGGTTGATTTAATAAAAACTACCTTCCTAAAGGCCTATGGTTTTGGCAAAGAGAGAATGAGAGAAAGCACAATGGACAACGGTGTCCATGGCCCTAGGCATCAGCCCCTACGCACTAAGGGCAGGCACAACCATGTCCTACCAAGTGGACGACGGGGCAAGAAAAAAAAAAAAAAAAAAAGGGGAAACGAGGAGAAGAAGAGACATGCGTTGACATGCGTTAATATTCCCGACACATTCGTTGACATTTCATTCAATTGTTCATTCTCTTCACACCTTCGATCAATGGTTGCCCGTACAAGTACATGCACACGCATGCTTTAACGTGGAATACTCAAAGCTTATACCACTTGGCCTCAAATGTACAGGAGCACGACGGTGCGAGGCGGCATGCCACGACGATCCGTACGAATTTGTAATGAGAACGATGCCAATTGATAAGAAAGAAAGCAAGCTTTCTCAATACAAGGCTTTATATAAGAGTACAAGGAATACGAATAGATATATTTAAACTGTTTTGCTGTTGCGATTCGATACAGTGCGACTCGGGCAACTGCTCAATGTCGAGTCAGTTGTGTGTCCTTGCTGTTGCGCTGTATTTGTCAAGTCAAAGGTCGCTGACTTTTGACCTTCGCATAACCTCCAGGTGTGAAGAAACGTTCTTAGTAGGAAGGCATAGAAGCCATAGTGAGTTCAGTAGTAGAGATCGAGCTCGAGTGAGTAGGGTTAGGAGAGTCGAGAAAGTTTCAACAAAGAGGGGTTTCACTATAGAGCGAGCAGTACAAATAGGCAAGATGAAAGGTGTACCACCACAACAGAACATTATATAACTACAGTAGTCTACACTACAGGCAGTTACAAAACAATATATAGGTTTATATATATTATTCTGACACGCCCCCATAAGTGCCTGTAGGGAAGAATATGCAGTCAACGCCCCCATAATGGGGTACACCAAACAGGCCGCAGCGGAAATCATAACAACAGGCAAGTGCAGTGACAACAGGTGCAGTGATGGCAGATCCAGCTGTACCAACCCCTTTACCAAGGTAAAAACAGTAGGAGGTGGTGGGGCGGCAGGTCGCCTGAGGAGCAGGCTCTGTGGCTGCAACATGCAGTAGGACAGCAG